AGATAGATAGATAGATAGATAGATAGATAGATAGATAGATAGATAGAGTTAGATGGATGGATGGAAGGAAGGAAGGAGAGAGAGAGACAGAGAGATAGAGATAGATCTATCTAGACATACAAACACACAGACATTTCTTTGGGACAAATTATGTGTGTGTGTGTGTGTTTGTGTGTGTGTTTGTGTGTGTACACCCCCCCACCCCCCCCCCCCCCCACACACAGAGGGAGGGAGGGAGAGAGAGAGAGAGAGAGAATGTAGGTTTCCATGATGGAGGCTTTGGAACCTACCATGCAAACATTTTCAACCCAAAAGCAAAATTTATGCAAGGAAGAGAAAGTCCTCCATGTGCTGAAGTACCCAGTCTTCTCCCAAATGTAGGAGAAGCCCTTGCGTCACACAGCATCAAGCTCTCCCACCTCCCTTGGGCCACCCAGCTAAACCTGAGCTCCCACCAAGCCAAACTCAAGAAGTCCAGCAAACGTGGGCTCTTCTTTCTCCCCTTCTCTGGGCAGGTCTTTTTTGTCACCACCTCCTGCCAACTGAAACGCTTGGAAGCCGGAAGCCGCTCACCCATCTACTCCAACATCTCGGAAACCTTTGAAGGGAGCAGCCTCATTCGTGCATTCAGAGCCCAGCAGCGCTTTATTGTCCAGAATGATGTCAATGTAGATGAAAACCACAAGGTGTCCTTCCCTTCAGTGGTCGCTGACAGGTATAAATATTTTTCTGTGGCTGGAAGGGAGGAAGCACCACGTTCAGAGGCAGCTCATTTGAAGGTGACAATGGCAGCTCTCTTGGCCTAATTGGACTTGGAACGATGTTTTCCTTCTCTTCTTCTTTTATCTCCACCTTCCCTTCTCTTCCCTTCCCCATTGATTCTCCATCTTCCCTTCCTCCTTTCCTTCCCTTCCTTCCTTCCCTCCCTTCTCTTCCTTCTTTTCCTTCCCTTCCCTGTCCATTCTCCATCTTCCTCCTTCCCTCTCTTCCCTCCCTACCCTTCCTTCCCCACCCTTTCCCATCCATTCTCCATCTTCCTCCTTCCCTCCCTTCCCTTCTTTCCCTTCCTTCCCTTCCCCATCCATTTTCCATTTTCCATCTTCCTCCTTCCCTCCCTCCCTCCCTCCCTT